AATAAACGGGACAGTTGCAATACTTTCAGTGAGACAAAACTCGACTAGTTTTTCGTTTACCAAATTGTTTTTTAATAAAAATCGATCTTGTTCACAGTCACAAATGAAAACGCGCTATCATGGCAATATTAAAAAGTTGCAGCAAAATGTACTGTGAGAGACAAATTTTTTTCTTTTTTTTTTTTTTTGTACAATAGAAATATGTCAACACGCATTGAAGTGAAACAACAGTTGCAGTTGCAAATAACATTGGGATTAAGTTTTGTTTAGTTATACAACATACACGTGGACTATTTTTTTTCAGAGTTCCCGAAAAAAAAAACAAATAAATATTATAATGAATAACAGAAAATTGACACGCCACAGTTGAAATAGACTCTCCGATGGTGATGTATTAGTAAAGCCGGTCGCGACACCGGATTCGAATTTCGCTTGGCATCACGTCTCGGTAGTTCGGAGGTTCATGTTACCAAATATATATATATATTGTGTAGATACTCGGAAAAGAGAGAGACAAAACGTCTATTTGTTATTTATTACAAACTGTCAAAACATTTGTTTTTAGACGAGAGATAGCTCTTCGTGTAGAAAACTATTTATAAGGCACTATTTTCAACAATTTATTTTAGAAAGAAATTTATTCCGATTTGATAGTATGATAAAGATATTTTTTGTATGGCATCCGCGTGTCATCCTTATCGGGACCGACAGCTTGATGATATTTGCCTTTAATAATTTTCTACACGAGCGCGTGGTGCTGTGATGCATGGTGAATATGTTCTGATAACACATGCGTTTATATGCACTCAGCATAAAACGTTGCAACAAATGATTAGATTGAAAAGTGTTATCCGTAGTATCCGAACCACACAGTTTAGTTTTTGTTTCACATATCTCCGTTGTTTTCGCTAAACAGAGCAGTGCGATAAAATCATTCGCGCGATGAAAATGTCAATCGCTTGTCGCGAATGAACGTGATTTAATATTCAAATTCGTTATTTACACAACCGGACTGCGCGAGTTTTTAATTTTGAATGTAATAGTTTTTTGTATTGCTTTCGAGATTCGTGGAAATGTTAAAAATTTTCGTAAAAGCATTACAGGAAACATTAAAGGATAGTGATATAATTAATATCGTATAATTCAATTGCAAGATATTGTTATAATAATCACGATTAATATATAACAGATCATCAACAAAATTATTAAAATTAAATAACATATAATCCCGTGATAAAAGAAATCTTTGACATAAAAAAAAAAAGAATCTTTAAAATATTGGAAATGTATTTTCTGAAGAAAAATATAAATTACATTGTACTACACGTAATAAAAAGAATTTTAAAATTATACTAATTCTCTTTTTGTCTGAAAACATTTGTTTAATTTCGTCGAAAGAGAATTAACTGCGGTCTGTTTTAATGAGTGGAAAATACTGAAGCTTTTCATCACGAATACACAAATGTAACGATTGTATCAAACTGCATTGTCAGTAATGTCAGTCGTTTAAAAGCGTTCGGTGTCTATTACGAAAATAATGACGCTCCACTACAAAATGTCACGGTCCACTTCAGCGTGTCATCGGCACCACGTCCAAGAAAAGCATTCCATTATTTGGCGCGCTTGAATGTAATTCTTTTGACGCAAGCAACTTTTTTTTTCAATAAATGCTAAAGATACACGTGCAAATATGTATATTATGCGGCAAATGAAACGATATACAAAAAAAATAAAAATATAAAAAAAGTTATATTCATAAAAAAAGTTTTATCATTTGTAATAAAAGAAAGAGATGCATATATATATATATATATATATATATATATATATACATGCGTATGAGGAAGAATTTTGCAGAACTTGATACAAGCGTAATTTAACTACGAAACATATAACTATGTCACATTTGAAAATTGAGAGAATAAAAAGCGCAAAAGAAATTGTGACAGCGTTGTGTCTATATAAACGTCTATATAATTTTTCTTTTTAATTTAATTTTAACTTTGTAAGTTTGTATCTATCTTTGTTATTAAACGTAATTTATTACTGACTTTGTTCGCGGTGCGATAATACATTAGCGGAAAATTCAGCCGACAGATTGCCGCACATTCACTCGAAGCGCGAAGCGTTTCAGCGCGATAGCGACAGTGGCGACGACGGCAGATGCATTTCCGCCATAGGAGAAAAGCAGCAAAATACTATGCGCGTTGAATAATTCAAAGCAAACGCTGGGAGACGGGCCGCGTCTCGTATTTGTACAACTGATCGCTGAATATTTAGCGACATGTTTATCCGAATCATGATCTCGCGTTTCAGGCCGCGTCACGTTCACTTCGCCGTGGCGACGTTGCGAGTGCAACAATTCGGCACATTCGCTCACAATGCGCTCTCACATCGAGATGGTCGCGCGTGACGCGTTTCTCATGCAACATATTAAATATTTTCTCCTAAATTGTCATTTACGTGGACCGGGAAAAAAAAAAAAAAAAAAAAAAACAAATTTACCGGAAACAACGTAAATAAAAGAGAAATAGTTGCGCAAATTGAAGTTTACTCTCGCGCGTTGTTCAGCAAGCGGTCTAAAGTGGTTGCCTTCAAACATCCACCACTGAGAAATACTTTGCGAATTTTTAGCTAGTCGTTCGTTAAAAGTTCGCACTCGTACTATGCTTGTTATAAACAACTGTAAATTGCGAATCCACATTCGTAATCGTCAGATCGGCAACAACATATATGTATGTATAAGGACAGCGCATATACAGGGTGTCCGAACAATTTTGATCAAGCCGAAGTGTGAAAATAGATTGGATTAATCTGAACAGAAAGGTCGTGTACTATATATATATATATATTTTGCAAAATTCGCAATATTGAGTGATTACTACACGCGAGCGCCCAATGAGCGCGTGAAAAGTCCGGAGGTTGTGAAGAAAAATGGCTTACTTCGTGCAATCTCCTAACACCAAGAGACGGAACAAACAAGCGAGCAGCGTGTGACACAGTTTCTTGCATCAGCTGATTTTCACTACCGAAAATCGTGCGCTATATACAGAGCGCTTACACACCCATCATCATTCATCGCTTTCCCCCGCGCTCATTGGGTTTACGTGTATCAACTAATCACTCGATAAAACTATTGCGAGTTTTTTGCAAAATGATACATGAATTTACCGTTCAGATTAATTCTCAATCTATCTTTACACTTCGGCTTGGTCACTGCGAATTTAGCAAAGTGGTACTCTTCGGTTCGGATTAATCTATCTTCGCCCTTCGACTTAGTCACAATTTTTCATTCTGTATATAAGCGATCAGATCGCGCCAAAACTTTCGGGATCTGATTTCTTATATAATCACATAAGATTATACATATATGATTTTATACATATAGTCTTACACGATCGTAATAAGTTTAGATCCAAAATTTAGCGCAATTGGATCACTTATAGATACGTAATCTTATATAATCATATATATGTTCCTATTTTTTCTTAGTATATAATTTGTAGTTTTTGAAAATCAGCTGATCGCAAGAAGCAAGCTGTTCACACATGCCGTTCGCTCTTGTTTGCTTTACTTCTTGCCGTTAGGAGATTGCACATGAGAGATATAAATCAGTTTTCTTTACAATGAAAATCACACACGCCTACAGGGAGCGTCCAAATTCCCTTACGCGCTCATTAAGTTCATATTAATTAATTAATAACTAGCTCGATAAATATTGCGAATTTTTTACAAAATGGCAAATGACTTTTCTGTTCAGATTGACCCGATCTATCTATCTTCGTACTTTTCGGATTGTCAAAATTTTTCAGACCCTCCGTATATATACGACATATATTTATGGCTTTTGTCTCTTTATCTCTGTTCGACCTTTTTATCCTTCCGTTTTGTGACATTTGGATATTAAAGTTTGTTCATCGTGATTTCACATTCAGGATGTGCCCTTAGGCCAATGTTTGCATGATTTCGAATTCCCCTTGCTATCCCGTTCTCTCTCACAACTTTTCTTTCAGCCTCGAATCATCCCGCGGTCCGTCCTCCCTTTTCCCCGCTATCGCTGATCTTTTCAGTCGGGGTGTCGCCGCATTCGCGAGACGAAGGGAAAACTCTGTCCTTTGATTTCGCTGGCGCTTTAATCGCGCCGCGTCAAGCTTTTGAAGAATCGACCCTCTTCCCCCCCCCATTCTCCGGTGATATTGAAAATTACACGTCTATTTATCGAGCTTGAGCGCGGTGTAAATTCGAGCGATTAAAATGTAGCGAAAAATGTTTCCCTTTAAAAAAAAAAACAAATAAAAAAACTCGCCGGTTGTTCTTTTTGTTTTTTCCCCGCGACGTTTCTGATTATTACATATTACGTGAAATTCATGCGAGAATGAGTATTAAATAATAATAGCGAGCGCCGATAATGCATAATGAAGAGGCGTTTCACAGCCCGCAGGCTCATACATATTTGCGAAATACTCGACCGTTCGGGATACAGGATGTATCGGAGAGAGCCTTCCGTTGTCCTTTTTGTTAGCCGATGATTCCATTAAAGCCCATCAAAACGCCTATGTTTGTTCTCATTTGCATCGGACCGCGGAGTCGACAATACACAATTCTAATTCACTGTGCTGTCCCCGTATGGCATGTAACGACATTATCGGACTGCACGTACCCGTCGCTGCCTGACATAATTCTCGATGTAGCACACTCTGTTCGCTACTACTGTCGCGCATTGACGTTCCCCACCCCGGCTTCTTTCCAGACGTACAGCTGATATACTTCGGAATATTACCTACTTTCTACGTGACCTATTTACATTTGCGCAAAGGCTCTCGAGGATTTATTGGAAGTATTCGGAAGCGACTTCCGTTGCGCTACGAACACCTATCGGGGAATCTAAAGTTATTTACGCAGAGAGTTCTTCTTAAACGTGTATATATATATATATCTATCGATTCTTAAAACACAAAATCTTTCGATTTCGTGTTAAAGAATAACGGGAGCTGCTTTACCTCTTTGATCCAGCTCTTCCATAGATCTCGATCCCAAGGATGATGGAAACCTAGATACAAGTGCCTGGTCTCGCGATGGTGACTCTCTTCCGGGTGTTGGCTCACATGGCACTGCTGAGTGACCCTGGGAAATCCAGTCACACGCAAAACGAGTTTGCCCAAACGTGACGGCGCATAGCACACCGCGCCACCTCCGCCGCCCAGTTCCAGCCATTCCGCTCGTGATTCTGGACAAGCTATGGAAATTGCGTTTGTCTCGTAGAACATCATCTCTTAGATAAATTTGAAATAAATAAATATATACATATATATATATATATATATATATATATATATATGTGTGTGTGTGTGTGTATAACTATAAGAGTTAATAATCCGATTAACAATGCCAATCTCTGAATGATTTCGAATTATTTTCCGAAGTGCTCATTAATATAACACGTATTTTCTAGAGTGCATATTAATACACATTATAATTCGAATTAAATTCAATTTGAAAATTTATATTGGATGTGTGGTTTGCACCATGCATATAGAAATAATTTTTTTAAATTCTCTTATAAATTTATTAATTTAATATACATTAATCCTTTTCGCCTGCAGACTTAAACAAAAAAACAACCTACTGCAGACTGGATCTGTGAGACCCATGCGACTTTAAAAAATCAAATAATCTCCGCGAAATATTAATATTTTTTAAATATTCTTTTCGAACAATTTTGCGTCAATAATAAAAAACAAATTGAAAAATCTCCGGTAGTTTCGAAGATATAAGCGTTTAAAAAAAAACTAATTTTTTCTAGAAACGCCAATGCGCAATTTTTGAGCGGGTCTGGGAGACCCACTGTCTACAGACAAAGGGTTAATTAATATATATGCATACGTATGTATGCATATATATTAATATGTGTGTATATCCGAGAAAAAATGGAAAACGAGCGATCATGTGGGATTATATATGGGTCAGGTGTGGTTTTATATGATCATATCAGATTTTATTTAAATCGGCTGTGATTTTTACACGTAATCGTGTAAAATCAAATCCGAAATTTGACGTAATCTGATCACTTATATACAATCTTATATATGATCATATGTGTGTTTCTATTTTTTTCCGGGTACATATATAAAACATATGCAAATATATATAATCGTCTTTACAACATATTGGCAAGAAAAATGTCACATGTTGAAAAAATATCTAGCAACGAATTTTGACACGGTCCTACATCAATCCTTCTGTTGCGAGCTCGCTGTAAACACGTGACAGATATTGACATTTCGACTCTTTAAAATGTAAAAAATTCCAGACACATAAAAAAAAAACAAAAAAAAAACACGCAAAGTGCGCGATAGAACAACTCCATTTCTTACTTCCCGAGACGTATACCTACAATATGTACTAATTACGTCGAGCTACGCCAAGAATGTTGGACGGTCATTGATATTCCAATGACGACCGATTACATTCCACGGCGTCGGCTTTCAGGGACCATCCATCACACCGGATCGGAACGCTCGCGCAGACACACAAACGCCCATCGGGTATTATCGAATTTTTGCGCGACTTCCCTCCCCCCCCCTCGCCATCACGGGAAAAACAGAGGTTCCGCACAGACCTTCCGGCGATCCAATACGAAATTTATTCGTAGCGACGGACCGCGAAATATCGAGAACACTGAGCTCTACCGGCGAACAGATGCACGATTATCGAATTCGATCCATCAGCGCGTTGGAAAATCTCGTTGGGAGTGTTGAAAAAGAAGATTGCAAGAAGACCATTGGATTCTGTCACGTAGAGAATTACAAACAAAGCTCATTTGTTGAATAATATATAGAGCTTTTTAGATCGTAATTAATATTTTTGATTTACATAAATTTTTAATAAAATAAAATTATATTTAATAAAATGTATTTCTCTCGCTCTCTCTCGTCGGCTCCGACACTCTCTTCTTCTAAAAATAGCTCTAAGATTCAAGGAATCGCTGTTGAATTTATTTGAGAACGCAGGGTCAGTAAACGAACTATCGTTATATCTATAACGTAAGCAGAAAGGTCACACAAATATTCGTTCTCAAATCGTAGAATTCCAGGCAATTCCTAATTGAAGCCCCCAGCCGTAGCCGCAGCTTAAATCAGCGAATACCGACGAAGCTGACCAGCTTCCGGAATAGCCGCCATTCTATACGTCCATGCTAGATTGTGGTTCCATTTGCAAGATACGTATCGAGCAGTGGGCAATTTCCTAACAGCGAGGCACAGATATACAAAGTGTGTTCCCGCGTGTTCTCGCGAAATCGGTGCTTGTTAGAGAGTAAATTGAATGACGAAACTAAATAAACGCGAAACCTTGACGAAAATTTTACTCCACAAATTTCCCTTAAGCGTTTTTCTCGTACAATCGTTTTACGTACTCGAGTGAGAGAGAGAGAGAAAGAGAGAGAGAAAGTAAAACGCAATTATTTTAACTGTGTACTATGTTTACAAACTATGTTTACAAAACGTAAAATATTGCAGACTTCACACAAAAAAAAAGTATTCAACCCGATGTATCATCAGCTCTCATCAATTACAGAGAGAAAAGTTACGTAAAATAAAAAATCTCTTTCGGATAAATTTAAACAACGAAGAATCCGTAGATACCGAGGATCATCGAGATATCTCATCTTCCTCCCGTCTTTCGTCACGTATGCCACAAATCTTCGGCCCCTGAAAAGTAACGGTCTGACAGAGGGTTCGTCCCCGGGAAAGTTGCTCGCTGTTGATTCAGCAGGGGTTCGCGATGGCGAACACCTGTTACCGCGGCTATCTCGCGTTTAATCAAGCCGCTGGTTCCCGAAGGAACGACCGGCGCGGCCGTTCCTAACTGACGCGATGCCAGACAACTTGGGTTTTAGAGCGTTTCGATGGCCGCTCGCCATGAAACACGTTTAGGCCGGAATTACCACGTTGCGTTTGAAATAGCGGATGTTGTTTCACGTTGTTGCGCAATATATTGAAACAAATGCGACTATAGATCGCAACATCTATGTTCGTTGACGTTTAATAAAATACAACAACAACGTTCGTTAATTTAACACGCGCGAGTTTATAATCTAAACCTAAACATTTTGAATCCCGATCGCAACGTCCGATAATATTCACAAGCGTCACGTCTCTGGAAAATGGATTTAGTATAGATGTTACATACTTTCAGCAATCAAAACATCGTCACTTCACGAGGGAGATAGAAAGAAAAAAAAAGAAGCGTGGCCTATCTTGCCGTCGATATATATATATATATACTACGTTCCGGGCGCACATTTGTGGCTTCTTTGGAAAATGCCGAATGCAATTCGAACGTTTCTCGAGCGAGACAACTCTATTCCGGTCACGTTCGGCAAAGTCGCGTCTGACTTCGTTGTCTTTTGCCGGAAACGTCTGAATCAATGGATCTTCACGTGGAAATGAACGTTCAATTTTAAACAATAAATCTATATGTATCTTATTTTTTTAATTATTTGTTTAACTTAAATATAAGAGCAAGTTTATTAAAGAGTTTTTTTTAAGTCGGTGTGTAAATAAATGTGTGTTTTGTTTAAATTTTATCAATTATTTTTATATATGTCGTTGAAATTCTCATTTGAAAATGTACTTTTTTTGCGTTATTTATATATATATATAAATACCAACAACGATTTTTCTTTCGCGCGATAACGACGCACCGTATCTGAATGTTCGGCGAACGTAATTGCACGTCAGAACGATAAATCCCTTCGGCTGAAGAAATTCTTGATCCGCGGCACGCATCTCGTTGGTGACAAGATCGTCCCAAAGAAGGGATAAGGGACGGACGTAGATAAATCATGATGTTTCGGCTGTCGGGAAAAGAAGAGAGGCGGAGAAAACATTAACGGAACTGATCTCGCACAATATTTTTTTTTTTCTCATCATCTCTTTATCTCTTCTAAGAATTTTCCACGAATTTTTGCGATTGCTCACACATATTATAAGTGTGAATTTTTGAAAACTGAAATCAATTTTAATAAATTTATTAAAACATTTATAACAAAATCAAAGTGTTACGTAAGGCGAGGTTTTTAATATCGAGGGAAGTGATTAACGGTAATGAACGTAAGATTTTCGAAAACTTCAACGGCAAAAAAAAACTTGCCTTGAGAAAAACTTGGAATTTAAATTAAATTAACAGTTTAAAAAAATACTTTAAAAGTTCCTTAAAATAAAATTGGATTGTCCAGTTGACGCTCGGTGCGACAGTTAGAAAAATATGTTCTTGCTCTCGGAAAAGATCTTGTATAAGCTTATGACTGTTGTGTTGTGAGAATGTAAGCTCAAGAAATTCGCTCTTCTTACACGTCGCGCTTCTTCAAGAATTTCCCGATCTCAGGGGTTGCGAGAGAAAACAGACAGATATACGGCGGCCATCATCAGATAATTTCCAATGTCTCTGACAGACGCTCTGGGATTGTTTCTTTTCCGCGGTGAGTTGTTTTCTACCCGAGCGAGCAAGCCCACGCGCTTCTTTTCGTCCTAAATTTTCTTATCTCGAGAATATCAGAGAATTACGCGTGCGGAGCCCTTACCTGGATAAAGAAAGAGCCTGGAGCCGATGACGGCCAAGGGTCGTCGTTTCCATTGGGGAAAAACCAACCCCTTTAGTACCAGAGTGTAGCCGCAACGGCTGTATCCTGCCAAATCCAACAATGGCGATGCGGGTCCTGACAGGAAAACAGAAAAAGACACCGGTGACTTTACACCTATTACTTTAAAGGTTACCACTTTTAATCAACGCGCGGAGGAAAGTAAATGTTTTTCAGGTTGTACGCGGGTAAAAATTGTTTAAGTAGTAAACCCGGTAGAAAATATTTATTTCTATCTCTTTGGGTTAATTTTTAAAGAATTGTTGGTTCCAAAAAAATCTATACATTGTGATATATATATATACATATATACATATAGAATTCTTTATTGCATATGCAGCGGCAAACGGCGCGCGACGAAATTGAGTTACGTTTACAAACAGAAACGCAAATTTTCAGAGAATTTTGCAGACCGTACGTGACATACGAATCGTACCGCTCTTGTTTTTTATTCATTGCGCCAACGATATAGACCTTTTAAACGTTTGAGAAATGCAAAAATGTTACTCGATATTTACGTTAAAAATGTTCCGTTTCCGTGAGTATTATACACGCGCGTTATACAGTTTTAACACATCCGCGCAACGACGATATTAAATATACATTTTTTGAAAAACAATTGCGATCATCAAACTTCCTTCTCGCGTCGTCAAACAATTAGAGAGAAATCACTATACGGACTCTCGATTATGTGAACAGCAAACTCTCTATTATCAGAAAAAAGCAATTATTGTCCTTGGCAGCGTGATATTTCTTTGCGGATGTGTAAATATCAGACTACGTCGCCGCTGGCGAGAAATGCTCGCGAGCTTCGCTTCGCCATCTCCGCGATAAAATCCAATAAATCGTGCGCGGTTATTAAAGCCAGCGTGTGCGTGGGGCTTTATTGCGACTGGAAAATGCCACGGTACGAACAATATTCAGCAATTTCAGAGAGAAAGCAATTTATTATGCAAGTACAAGAGAAAAGTTCTGCAATCCTGTTTGAATAAAAAAAAAAAAAAAAGAAAAAAAAAAGAAAAACAAACATCGGTAATACTTCGGACAATATTAAGTTTAGGCTCAAATAGAAAACAGACTTATTTGTGTTTTAATAATAATACTTTGAAATGTTACTGTGTTCATTGTGTCGCTTCTCTCAAATTACTCACCTCGCGTTCTCACGCGCTGTGAATAAATCGCGCGTGAATTTAACTCTAACAAGAATTCGAAGCGAATCTATTTTCTCGACAAAATGAATCACCATTTGGTGCTCAATGTCTGAATTCGGTTTCCGGGAGCAAAAGTTTCCGCGGGGAAATTACGGACAAGAGCTGGGAACACGATAATCGGCGTTTAACGTTTTCGGCTTAGCCGGGCCCGGGCTAAGCCAGGCCAGACGGTTATGTCGTTTGCTAGGGCGGCGGCGGCGGCGGCGGCGGTGGCGGCTGTGGCGCGAGCGCGCGCTTCCGCCACTTCCGGCCAGGAAACTCTCAGTCGTTAGCGGTTATTATGGTTAAATATGCTCGCGCCGGCGGCGACGGCGGTACGCCGCCTGCTAGATAAATTTGCTGTTTTAACGTTTCAGCCCTTGCATCAACGTGCGCGGCTCTGCTGTAATCCGCTCCAATTCTGCGCCATGAAACGTCAAACGGCACGTAAACGCGCGATATCGTCGGATTTGCAGTCGCGGCGAAAACTAAAATGGGGGAAGAACTTCCCCCGCGGAAGTTGTGTTACGTTAAGCTGGATAAACGCGCGAGTTGAAACGACAAAGTGAGCGTGTAAATAATGCACGCTATAGATATGCGTGAACATTTAGTGCTTTCGGATGTTATTAACAGATACCGCTAGACACAAAATTGTCGTCGACCGATTTAAATTTTGACACGCATTTTCAGAGAGTCCTGTGTCAATATTTAAATATCGCATTTTTCAATTCAATAAACAAGTTCATACGCGGAGTAAATAAAATAACTCGGATATATGTTTATATGTATATACATATATATATATACATGTATATATATATATATATTTGTATGAGTAAATTGTAGAAAAATAAAATTGGAAAAACTGCGGAGAGAGTAAATCGTGCAAATATTGATGCAAAAATAATGGACGACTTGGTCAGCGAGAATTTGGATTATTTGAACGTTTCGACATTTGGAACATGCGAAACATGTGTTTTTTTTGCACATGTTTGGATCTTTGCTTTAGAGTTTTGCTTATCTGTGAATTTTGCATTTCTTGCGTAAATAAACAACAAGCGCGTGTATGTATGTGTGAAATAAAAAAATACGGGAGAATGGCCCGAAAGTCAGAGGGAGTCGCACGAAAAGTGCGTTTATGACTGTCAGTTTTTCTGGGGGGGGGGGGGTATCAGCGAGTTCAACAAAAAAAAACAAAGCGCGAGCATCTCTCCCTGCCCCACTGAAATATCAATCATGTTCCGTTTTCCAATATCGTCGGTGGTCTGGCAACGAAATGCGGACGTCGCAGTTTATCGGTTTCTTGCAAAAATTGAACGTACACGACAGTAAACAGAAGCCGGGACAGCATGAAGGTAATTTCCGAGTTCGTTCTGCGGAAAGTAGTTAAGAAAGACGAGCAGTAATTCTCTGTGTAGGGGGCGCGAAAGTCGCTTCGAACTCTCGTAGATTGCATTTTATAAGGCAAACCTCCCCCTCCCATACGCACACACACATATATATATATATATATCGTAATATTTGTAAGTGCAAATCGCAAATAAATTGACTTATATATTTCGCAATTATAACGCGATTACGAGGGTTTTAAGTCGCGCGTCAAAGTAAGTTTTGCGAGATTGCCGGAAGAGAAAAAAGGAAAGCGCGTGCGCGAACGAGAAAAAAAGACAAGAAAATTATAAAATTTTGTCGCAGTTTCACAACGATTACGACGACGACGACGACGACGACGACGCACGCGAATCGCGCGCGTGCGACGCTTTAACTTAATTAACTCGGCTAAATTGTGCCACGTAAGTTACGTAATGCGCTTCGAGTTTATATCGCCGAGCGACCGAGCGGCGCGCAGAAGCGCCTTGAAATTGCTCATTAATAGCGGCAATAACGTTATAATTAGCGGGGCACGCGAGCGAGCGAGCGAGCAAGCCCCGTCGTTTTGTGTCTCTAGAACGAGAACACTCGCGAAAGTACCCACTTACGGCTGCCTGTGTTGACACTAGCTAGCTATACTGTCGTATATACAGGGAGCTCCGGTTAAGTGGAACGAACGTTTCTTTATATTACGGCGATTGCGAACAACAACAATTCTATTATGCGAAAACGTCAAACGCGTTTCTGCGCATATCTAGACTCGCGATGAACAAACAAAAACAAAAAACAAATAGAGATAAAAGTTTTACGTTTTTAAAGAGGGATATTTCGCCGGGGTCTAACGGAAAAATCGGTTTTTTTTTTTTTTTTTTTCAAAACGTTAAAAGGTCTCGAGTATATCTGCAAAACTTTTTTTTGAAATTTCTCAAATATACTTAAAATATTAATAAATATAATGCTTCAAATGCTTTACTTTGATATCTCTCTTTATTGCTTCAAAAAAAAAAAAAGGATCTGAAAATCACTTTGTTTTTGACGCTTTAGATCAAAGAACCTCGCTTTAAGACGCGGCGAAGCGTGTAATCTTCTTTCAATTAAGAAAAAAAAAAAACATCAGAAACAAAAAAGTGTACATCATCATAATTACAGCAATTATTCTTTCCTAAATTAGAAATGTTTTCTCTTAATAGTTTTTTTAAATATTTTAATACACACCGAGCGTTGAAATTGTGTCGTCATTGATGTTATATAGCTAATAGAAGATTTTTTTTTTCTATTACTCTCGCGTGCAGGTTGCAGAGTGTTAGAAAAGATCTCTCTACAATTTTGGGTGGACTTCGAACCACCGGAATTGTATATAAACACTTCAAAAGAGAATCTCGTGAGATAGAGATCACGTGACAATCTCGGTGAGCTATTCAGCTTATCGGACGGAGAACGACTTGTGAAAAATCCGAACACAGTTTTGCTCCGGATTCGAATCTGGAATATCTTTGGTTACTGGTCCCGTAACAAATCAACTAAGCTAGTTGGTTTGTGCAGAATCAGTAATCAAAGATATTTCAGATTCGAATCCGGAGCAAAACTGTGTTCGGATTTTTCACAGGTCGTTCTCCGTCCGATAAGCTGAATAGCTCACCGAGATTGTCACGTGATCTCTATCTCACGAGAGATCTCTAAATTTGAAGTGTGTATGTACACTTCCGGTGGTTCACCTAAAATTGTACGGGTTCTTTCAAACACTCTACAACCTGCACGAGAGAGTAATAGAAAAAATAAAAATCTTTTCTTAGCTATATAACATCAATGATGACAATTTCAACGCGCGCGTACTGGTAAATGATGATCATAAAAGGCCGGATATCATTATTTTTAAATCTATTTTTTATTTTTTTATCTATTTTCATACAACACGTATATAAAATGTTCAATCTCAAACAATAAACAAGTCTGTGAACTATATTCCACAGTTAATAAAAAGTTAAGTAAAAAACAATGAGACAATGCTGACACAAGTTTATTGGAACGTTTAGATTCTCTTTATTGTGTGATCATCTTCAGCCAATCTTAATAATCAAATAATCAAATAAATACAGCAAAAAGATATTGTGATCGACATGTCAGTAAATAGAGAAAGTCGATAAGAGTAAAAAATAGCAATGTGTGTCAACAACATTATAACTATTTATTTCCTAGATGTATAGTTAGACTATAAACTGTGACTGCTGTTGAACTGATGAAGAGTGTCGACATTTTATAGTCTAATAACTATAAACTGGGAATAAATGATTACACAATGTTGTTGACACACATTTTTTTACTCTTACTGACTCCGTTTACTGTCGGTCGCAATATTTTTTTGCTGTATTTATTTGATTATTAAGATTGGCCGAGGACGATCGCACACAATAAATAGAGTCGAAACGTTCCAATAAACTTGTCAGTATTGTTTCATTATTATTCATTATCACTAACTGTGGAACGTAGCTCACAGATTTGTTTATAATTTGAAATTTCATTTGGAGGCTTATTATTATTGTCAAATAAAATATTCAATATTTATATGTGTTAAAAAATTCCAGAGCGCATGTTTTTGTTTCTATCTCTCTCTTTCTGGATATATTCGATTCTACAATATATAAATTTTATCTCTCGATGTAATCAAATCGATGTGATCGACAAGTGTGGCACTTAAAATTAGTTAAATCGCTCGTTTCGTTAATTAATCATCTCGGTCTGTAACGTAAAGGTTAAAACGACGGGAATTAGACAGGCACGATTCTCTCAACGAAAGTTGCTCTCGCGAGCAACTAAGATGACGAGGAGATAGTCGGGATGACGAAGTGCTCAACTAACGCAATTAGCTCGCAGAAGGTGGCTCACGTCGACCCGTTGAAAGTATTACCTCGCGACGTAACGAAATCCGACGCGCTTTGTAATTACCGGGATTAGGATTTACGAAAGGGGTAATAAATGTTTTAAATTTACGTACGTGTACATACATGTGTAAATGCATTGTCTACACGTAATATAATATGATAGAAACGTATTTTCGCGCATTAGACTCTTATCTTGCGCATTTTGTGTATAAAGTAACACCTAAATCGATTTTAAAAGTAATGTTTTTTTTGCGGAAAAGAGCGAAGAACAACATATGCCGCATCACATACGTAATTCTTATACTAACCTACGTGAAAACCGATAAGATGCCTGAGTTCGGGATCCACTCCCAGACGAGTGCGTCGAGACAGTTCCTGGTAGCCGAGCCTTTGAAGAAATTGATCCTGAATCTCCAGCGGCTTCTCCTGGGACGCCAACCTCCTACCTGGCTCGCCGCCATACTGGAAATATATATTCATGGAATGTTTATTTTAATAACGAAAAAAAAAACAACAGGAACATCGTATTCAGAGAAGAAAGAAATTCCTGCGAAGAGCGAGCGTGTTAAAATTTCAAACAAAACAACGAAATGTTGCGCGAATTGTAAACACAATTTGTGAATAATAATTGATGAGCAGGGATTTTAATTTGCAAATAAAGCTATGCATTACTAGTAACGTCGTATGATCGTGTACGTGATCACAATCTCAGTGTTGATATTTTTAATTCCCCCGTGGCGATAATTACAATGACTAAATAAAAGCTTTTAGTAAAATTAAAAATTAAAAACTCTCGTTAATAAATATTTGATATTAATATTGATGCTGCGAGCAACACACAACAACTGTTTTATAGTTTATTAGTTTGTTGGTTTACGAAAGCCATGATGAGTTTTTTGAAATCAAAGGTTCTTTTACAGAGGAAGGAATCCATCATTTTTCTGTTATTAATTAAAAAATCATTTTGATGCAGTCTTTGTATGTATATCTCATTATGTCTTTATTCGTATCGAGCAACGTTTTATACCTGTACCTACATGGTAGTATTTTTTCTTTTCAATAAAATGTTGTTGTAAAATTTTTTAGAAATCTTTAGCTTTAATTGTAAAATTAATTAACAGGTTAATTAAAAATGAGAAAAAAAGAGTTGAAATTGAATCTAGAGAACAAAAGTAAAAGATAGAATCTTTGTAACTTATATTTGTTACTGGCAATTAAAAAATGTTAAACAAACAAGAAAATATAGCGAAGAGTTGAGCGAAGAGTTAAAGTTTTCATTTTACTTATAAATACATTATATATACCAGACAAACCACTAAAGATGACTTGAACTAATAAAGTCGAGACGTTTGGAATAATAACTCATTGGATTTTTAATGCAAAACAACCCTGCACAACCGGTTCGAGAAGCCCGTTACTCAACTTTCATATTAAATTATTTTTCGTGAACCTGAGGGGACTCCCCATCACACACTTCAAGCTTAATATATACCAGTATATAGATTCTTTTATTCTAGATATAAGAGAATTTTGTATATAAATTGGACGAGTAAACGTACGAAAAACTAATGTTCCGAGTTCCGCAATATTCTTTGTTCTAAATTTTGCTGACGTGGCAATCTTAAATATAAGACTTGTTTCAATAGCAAAACTTTTAAATTTATCAGAAATCCAAGCAATCTATTCGGCTTAAAACTTAAAAGAGCGCAGATCTTCTGATTTTTTTTTAACAAAAATAAGTAAATGTTGTTTGAATTTTTGAAAATAAATCCTAGGGTCGGTTGATTATTTTTACAAGTCTCTACAGGTTCCACATGTGCGAGAAATTTGAAATTTTTAGTGACCGCAGACGTCTGATATACGTTCTTTGCCGTGGAGGGTGAAAATTGTACATTGTATATGTACATATAAAGTTCAGCAGTAATATAAGAAAATGTAGGCACATTTGAAATTCTCCTCTCGAATGAAATATATCGGTAAGATATTGTTACGGCTATACACACATTTATTTCTGCCCGCTTGTACGTTATATCGTCGTTTGCGTCATAAAATTCTCGTACAAAAAGTCGTCAACCTATTTTTAAAATCTTACGTACGTTTTGAGAATTTCCAACCACCGGTCGCCAAAAGTTTCGAATCGACCAACGAGAACGACGGATTCTCCTTGGAAAACTCGTCTGCCGGATCGCCGAGCAAGGCTTTCAACGTCACGTCAATCGCGAACTTTCTCGGAAAAAGTCGTACTTTGGTCAAACACCCCCTTTTAGGTACCAATCGGCTGAACTTCGACAACTACGATCTTCGTGCGGGAGTTGCCGCTTCGCTAAATCATTTAGTCGTTGCAACTTTTCGCGCTGAAAATTCTCTGTCCCTCTCTTTCGACACTGTACACTCAATTATACTAAAAAAAAAAAAAAAAAAGAATATTCTTGATAAAAGTAAACGTGCAAATATTGTTTATTTCGTGTCTATTTTCGTCGATAATTGCGCATACGTGCGCGGTCGATTTGAAATTCAATCAATATCAGAGTTAAGATTCCGCAGAAATTATTCACGCTGAAATGCCGCATTTATGGGAATGTATCAAAGTCGTTTAAACGAAATTTCGATAATGCCGTAATCTGGAAAAACGGATTTTAATTTCGCGAGATAAAACTGTACCTTCGCGCGAGCAAGGAGAAGCATTAGTCGTGACATATGTGCCATAAAAAATTGTAATTCCGGAAAGTGGTCTGTAAATAATAACCCGGTTAGCCGCAGGAGTAAAAGAGATTAATCACACACACAGCGCGCGCATTGGATAGCGAGTTACTTGTATATATCATCGCTAGGTGCGCGGCGAATTTTCTAATTTTTAACCCGAATAATTTTCACAGGCAATTTTCGCGTATTTCACCGCAAAATCCACCTTTAACGCTTTACGTATAGAATGCAATAACACAAACGTGTGAAATATTGTTACAGTCTTTTTTTTTCTTCTAAATATATTGGCCGATTCTAACATTCTTCTTTTTTCTAACATTTTTTTTTCGTTTTTTATTGTCAGTTCGATTTTTATCATTTTTCTTACAATTTTTTTACCAACTCGTTTGTACGTGTCGCGATAGAAACGTTCGAGTGTTTGACGCGCGAAAATTGTCCTTCTCAAGTTGTCTTTCACGCGGATATTTTTCGACTTGCTCTCTTGTAACTGATGTAGTGTAACGTCACGGTCACGAGCTTAGTTTGAAAGCAAAGAGAATCGTTTGAGAACGTTTCGCCCGCAGACGGCGGAAAGAGATGAAACGACGGTCCCTACGCTCAGCATTGAAAGGGAAGCTCTTCATTAACGAAGAGAGCGTAATTAAAGGCTCGAACACTTTTGCACCGCGCGCAGATAATTATATTTCCACACGAAGCGTCTCACTCGCGACCCAAAACGAATATGAATTTTCGACTTTACCGCCACGTTCGCGGAATTTAAGAATTTGAACCACCGAGTCAGCGAATGATCTAATCTGCGTTGAGAGAATGTCGAATTTCGAAATTCAAAAAGCAACGAGTCTCTTATTGACGTCTCAAATGCGACTTATCTCGCTTTTGCACTACAGATTAAAATATTTTGAAGATTAATCGTTTAAGATACTTAAAACATTAGAGACGCGGAGTGAAGCTGATAGTTTTTTTTTTTATTATACAATTAGTTTAAGAGAAGATGTAATTATGTTTACGAGAAGCAGATGAACAGATTTTCCAAGTATTTTCCTCAATTTAAATACAACAAATACGTAAATTGTACAGATCGTACACATCTCTTTATTATTCAACTTAATAAGCGAATATTTATATAAGAGAATATTTTTATTTCAACTTTATAAGTGAATATTTATATAAGAGAAATAACAAGATTTATACACAGAAAAAAAAGAATGGAGTTGCTTCAATTAAAGTTGAACGTCACGGGCTGTCACAAAAATAAATAGTTCGTTCAATTGCATATGCGATTAATTTAACGTCTAGATTCTTAAAGCAACTATCTGCTGTGTGTAGTGCAATAATATTGATGTTGCATCAACAGGATATATTTCAATTAAACTGATATTGTTGATTCAACATCATTTTTTTCCGTGTATAAGATATATTTATATATATAAGATATATTTATATTTATATATTAGAGAAATAACAAGACCGATAAGAGCCAAGCGCTGAAAATGTACGTGCGATGTATTTTTAACATGTAAATTACTACGTTTTATAATTCGAAATAAATTAGAAGTTCGAAAATATCGGATGTGTTTGATTTGCATCTCGTATGTGGAAACAATCCTCTTTGCTTTCTTCCTTATAAATTAAAAAAAAAAAAAAACAAAAAAAAAACACCTTGACCAGAACCTGGACTTTCATTAAATATATTGTTACGCGCAATTTTTTCTGATCAATGTTGAAAACATTCTCGCGCTTTACCAAAGGTATAATGATTACGACATACATACAAAGTACTATCTTTCTTCCGAGGAAGTGTGACAAGTTGAAATGAACAAAAATGAATCACGGGAAGACAAACCGCGTCCGATGTCTCTGTAGTTGTGGTTTGACTTAAGTATAAAGTTTCGCACTGGCTATCGCATCGTCGTTGTTGTTACGTCATCACAGGATTACGTGCGAAGTTACACATTGTTACTTGAGTATAAATAAACTTCAATCTTCTGCTCTTTTCACGTGCGCGCGTTTGTACGCGCGCTATCACAACTTTGTTTTGCACATTTTCCTTATTTATTTTTCTTTTTAGATAGACGGAAGTAAAATGCACTACATATAGTAAAATGCACGAGAATACAGGTTCGCATATTTCACGTGTCATTATTATGAGCGTGCCGTTTTACGCGAAGTGCCTCCGTGAAAAATTCCATCAATCCGTCTAACAGCGACGGGGGTTGCAAGTCGGACGCTTTCTCACGTCGTAAAATTCTCATTTGTTACGATTTAGAAGCTCGTAAGTAACGTCCCCCAAACTAGGCGCGCGCAAGGGAGAGATGGCCGCTTCTCTCTTCTCTCGCGACCAGTTCGGATATGAATTTTCAGCGTGAACTTGCTAGCTAGCAGCACTCGCGTAAATTAAAGTTAAATTGGAATCGGCCAGCTCAGCCCCGAAATTCATTCTGATTCCCTGCTGGCCGCCCTCGACCCTCGAGCTTTCGTCCCACCCCCATTTTCCACGGGTTACTCAAAGTTTCAGGTGGCAACGAGGAGCATTGTTCGGTTAAGTCTCGTTGCTAAACAATATAATGAAATAAAGATACTCTGCAATTTGTGTTGAGAATTCTCTTTAATTGTTTAAAAATCTCTTTTTGATTTTAAAATAAAAATCAAAATCATCATTAGTATCATTGGCGAGTTGGTATTCTGGTCCGATAGAACCGATATTATCGATCCATTGACTCATCCGAGAGGAAACTGGGCTACCTCTATTCCTCTGGAGA